GTAATCTGCTTGTTGGATAGAAAACAGAACTCAAAGTTCCCTGTTGACATAATCCTGAGCAAAAGCCTCCTGAAATTAGCGGAAAGTCTCTCCCTGGTTTTAGCAGTCTGCGTAAGTAGAAAGTAATGCAATGCAGGATACCATCAACAACATACATCCTCTCCAGTAGCTAGCAACCTGGGCAAGCAACAGAAAATCCATGAAGAAAAAAATATTCATTAGATTCTCACCACAATACAGTGAGACACAGGACTTCCCATATATCAAATAAATAATGGGGGGAAACCCACAAAAAACTAAGATGACAGTAATATCAAATTTAAATAAACTGAGAAGCAAGACAAACACATATATAATGATCTATGCCATACAGAAGTATCTGGAAGTTTCCCCAGAAATATTCTTATCACCACAAAAGCTTAGTGGTCTAATCAATATATATATGTCAAAAAAGCAGCCAGTCAAAGCTGGCCCTAAGCGCAGGAACTGTCAAAACAGTATGGAGAGATACCTACCACCGTCAGCCAAAGAGAGGAAAAAAGGCCCACAGAAATAACACAGTGACAAAGGGGTTCATTTTCCTTATGTTCAATTTCAGAAATCTGGATGACATCTAAGGCAAAAGTGTCACAGAGAAAGTTGTATATATCAGCAGCCTGGCAAAAGCTGAAAATTGTATCCTCCATCATATTAACGTTGATAGCTCCAGTACCTGTGCACCATTTTCCTTTTCTACTGGTAAAATAAAGGCATAAAATACATTTCAGAAGAAAATTACAAAAGCTGGGGCAAGCACAAAAGGAGTGTGAAGAAGCACAAAAGTGCATAGAAGGCTAACTGAAATAAGAATTTAATCAGATCAGAGACGATTGATATGACTGATGTTCAATCTCAAAGAATTAAAAAGTTATCCTAATTCACACAGTCTTGTACTCTCTTTGTATCCATTATCACAAAACACTGAAAAGTCTTCAAAAAGTTGAGAACAATTCAGTTGTCTTTTTGTAACAGAGGTTCAGAATGGGGGAAAATAAGCAAGATGACCACTAAAACCCTGAAAAGCTTCAGTGCAGCAAGTGATATAGATAAAGGGGTGGTGAGAGGGAGCAGGAAGACCCATCCCCTGGAAAGTACTTGAAAACCTCCTCCCCAGTAAATTTAGTAGATATATTGTATTAAAGACAAAGAAAGTCAAATGAAGGAGTAAAAATAAACAATTCCCCTTAGGACTTACATGCAAGATTGCTTTGTAAAACAAAGGAACCAGCCAAATGCTTTTCTCTGGAAAAGCAAAAGGTCGCCAATCTTGGTGAAAATACAGCTATAAAAGGTTTTGGCCAAATATCAAAGAACATGTTTACAAAACAGCCACATTCATTGTAACACTAACCATTCAAACATCACAATAGATTTCAGGAGAGAACAGGATGCAATGTCAAACATCTGTTATCACGTTATTTTCTTCAGCTCCTCTGCACAGAAATTGTATCTAGACCTTGCCCACCTTCCAAACCTCATTAGAGGTAAGCCAGATGTGGGCTGGAGGCTACTTTGTTTTTACCGTGCCTTATACAGCATGATGACAGCCCATCATACTCAAGACACATGGAAACATTCACTTTTTAACAGATTATATATAACCCAGCTGAAGAACCTCATTGAGCAGAGTCAGCCGTCCAAACTGCACAGACATTGCATAGACACATCTGGAAAACAGTACAAAGCCTTCCTGGAGCCAGGCTGGGGCAGGAGCAACACCTTCTGCACCCAAGCAGGGCAGCCACCTTAGAGAAGAGTACATGCAGCACTCTGAGAGAGCTGGATTTACTGGGCCCACGCATCTAAAATGTAGTGTGCAGACATAATCGGTCCATCTTCCAAAAATCACTGGACCAAGTAAGCATTGCATGTAATGTACTCAATTTCCTCTCAGGTTTCAGACACAGGGAGAGACAGCATCCAGAAACAGGCTCCTATATCTAGAGCTATGACTCCTGTCTGCAGCTTGTTCTCAAGAAGGCCCCAAGAATCTGAGTCACCTGGACTATCCTGAAAGATTACACATACTCCACAAGCTGTATGGCAGACGCTTTTCATCAAAATTATTTATTTGGGGCAGGACAGACTGGGAGGAAAATGCAAGTCTGAAAATTAAATTATCAAGAAACACACTTCCACTCAAAAATCCTGATACCGGTTCCAGGGACAGATATTTGAGACATAACACAGAGAACAGTAAAATTAATAGGACTATAAGCAAGGAAAATCCCCTCCCTCAGGGAAACAAAAAAACCCACCCAAAACACCCAAAACAAAAAAAGGCACAAAAAAAAACAACAAACCCACAAACCCACAAAAAACAACCCCCCACTTATTCATCTACTTTGGATTCATTGCAGGAACACATGCAGTGGAAATTAATTCATGCCTGTTGTGCCTGAGTAAGTGCTGCAGACAATGATGTTTAACACATTTAGTACATGATGGATGTTGCCTTTTCTGTTCAGGAAGCAAATGTGAAGTTAGAGAAAGCGGGGTATGCTCCCTTCCTGGAGTCAACATATCCAGGGCTGGACATGCTCCAGAGATTTACTTCTTGAAACATGTACATGGAATATTTGACCAGTTCCAGACAAAAGGGATTTAAATACACGGGATATAAAAGGCACCTTCCCCAGTCTATCCACTGCTGCTACTGGTTGTCATTGACTGGGTTTTGCACCAGCAGATCTCCACTGTGAAGAAACATTGCATTACTCTATAAATAATATCATATCAGTGTGCCTCTGGATACCTCTATTCTGCATGAGCCACCTTTCACTTTTGGACAATTACTGCATCAGTAAGAATGCCTGATGTAGCTATGACTGATGAATTCAGGATATTAACAATGTTCATTTTTAACTGTTTGGGCTTGTTTTTTCAGACCGTCACCTGTTCCCGCCCCATGCTCTCAGGCATCAGGGCCTTGGGCAAGAAAAAGAGTTTTCTTTTAAACAGTGCAGGAGGAAAAGGTTACCTTGTTTACCAGTAACTCTGGAGTACAAAGAACTACTTTGTCCTTACAGAAGAGGCAGAGTAAAGGCAGTGTTTCTTAAGGGCTGAAGTTTCCAAGGCTGCTCTTGTTGATGTGAACGTGACCCAGAGGCATGTCTGCAATCCCAGGAAGCAAAGGCAGTGAAGGGCTGCTGGCTTTAGGCGCAGGGCAACTGCCTCTGCCCCCAGAGAGGACAGGATCCAGAGCTACAGCTACAAGATGTCTGAAAGGACAGGCAGAGGAGGAAGCTGCATAGAAACTAACACCACAGAAGGCTTTGTGACTAAAGAGATGGCCAACAGACAAGGGTTTGTGATCTTACTGCTGAGAAGGAGATACTTTTAAAATACTTAAATGGTTTTTATTGCACTTCATTAACATTTAGCACATCTGCAAGGCCACCCCATGTGGAATCACTCTGCTCTCTTTTTTTTCCTTCCTACATGTTGAAGCTCAGTATTATTATTAAATAACTTCCATTAATGCATCTTCCATACAACCCACAGTAATGACTTACACTGATTCATAAGCAATGAAATCCAAAATTTTTCTATAAAGCGTTCCTTAATAGAATCACAGAATAGTTAGTGTTGGAAAGGACCTTAAGATCATATAGTTCCAAACCCCCTGGGTTGGTGAGACTGACTGGTCTGTAATTCCCTGGGTCATCCATTTTTCCATTCTTGAAAATGGGGGTTATATTTCCCTTTTTCCAGTTGTCGGGAACTTCACCTGACTGCCATGATTTTCAAATATGATGGACAGTGGCTTAGCAACTTCATTCGCCAGCTCCTTCAGGACCCGCAGATGGATTTCATCAGGTGCCATGGACTTGTGTGCATTCAGGTTCTTAAGATGGTCTCGAACCAGTTCCTCTCCTACAGTGGGCCTAAGGTCTTCATTCTCAGAATCCCTGCATCTGCCTTCCAAGACTTGGGTGGTGTGGTCAGAGCATTTGCCAGTGAAGACTGAGGCAAAGAAATCATTAAGAACCTCAGCCTTCTCCAAATCCAGGGTAGCCAGTTCTCCTGATAGCTTCCTGAGGGGGCCTACATTGTCCCTAGTCTGTCTTTTAATCGCTACGTACCTATAGAATCCCTTCCTGTTATCTTTAACATCCCTAGCCAAGTTTAATTCTAACTGGGCCTTAGCTTTCCTAACCTGGTCCCTAGCTTCCTGGACAACACCCCTGTATTCTTCCCAAGTCGCCTGTCCTTGATTCCACCTTTCTTAAGCCTCTTTTTGCCTTCAGATTTTCCTCAGCAGTTCCTTATCCATCCAAGGAGGTCTCCTGGCCCTCCTGCTGCACTTTCTTCTAGTTGGGATGCAACACTCCTGAGCTTGCAGTAGGTGATCCTTGAATATCAACCAACAGCCTTTGCCCCCCTGCCCTCTAGGGCTATATCCCATGGAACCTTACTAAGCAGGCTCCTGAAGAGTGCCCAGACATAACTGATTTTGAAAACTTTCTGAAAACTGATGAAGTACAACTATTTCTCCTGAAAGAAAAGGCAAATAGGACAAAAAAAATCTGTAATGAAACAGGAACAGTATGACAAAAAGTTACTTTCCTGAGGAATGAAAAGGAATGTAAGAGACGACATGATCATAGCTATTACAGTAAGAAGACCTACCCATTATCTAGAGCTGAATTTCATCTGTACTGCTTTAAGAATTTCACTGTTCCCATTTTTTTAAAGATTTGAAATAATGACAATGGTTAACATGTCAGTAGACAACTTACCCACCTATCCAACTTTGCTAAACTAGCTTTTTGAAAAGCATACAAGAAACCACTAGTCCTTTTCATAAGAAAACACAAACCTTACTTGACATTGACAAGGTGTTTCCTCTGGCATATATAACAATCACAAACACTAAGAGCCACTGGACTAGCACTGGGAATCAGTAAACTATCAGTTGTTATGCATGAGTTAAGAAAATGTAAGACTAAATGGCCTACCTTCACTGCCAAGAAGTTGAGACCACTTTCATGAGCCAAAGCTTTTGCTATCATTGTTTTTGAGCATCCAGGAGGTCCATAAAGCAGCACACCTTTCGGAGGCTGAATCCCCATTCGGATGAAGGAGTCGGGATGTTTGAGAGGCCATTCAACTGCCTGCTTCAGTTTCAGCTTGACGTCTTCCAGTCCTCCTATGTCTGACCAAGATACCTGCAAAACAGACCATTTTGCTGAATTCAGACAATGGAGAAAAACTATTTTTAAAAAATGCTCTGTAGAATGCATACTGGTTATTTGATGATATTGTTCTGTTGTTTTTAACCAGTCACTTCTTCAAAAGCCTTTTTACCTTTTTTAAGAAGCAATTATTAATAAAATCAATAACCAATGGTGTGAAACAAGGTTGCGTTCTCGCACCGACCTTATTCACAGTCTTCTTCAGCATGATGCTCCAAAGGGCTACAGCAGACCTCAACGAACAAGACGGCATTTATATTCGATATCGTACCGATGGTAGCCTATTCAATCTAAGGCGACTGAAGGCCCACATTAAGACCCTAAACCATCTTGTCTGTGAACTGCTCTTTGCTGATGATGCCACCCTTGTTGCTCACACAGAAGCAGCTCTGCAGCGTTTAACATCTTGCTTTGCTGAGGCGGCTGAGGTTTTTGGGCTGGAAGTCAGCTTGAAGAAGACAGTAGTCCTCTACCAACCTGCACCGCAAGAAGATTATCGCCATCCCCATATTACCATCGGCGAGTCAGACCTTAAGACAGTTCAGCAGTTCAGCTATCCGGGAAGCATCATTTCCTCGGATGCCACGATCAACAAAGAGATAGACAACAGAATAGCAAAAGCATATAGAGCCTTCAGAAAACTCCATAAAAGAGTCTGGTGCAATAAACACCTGAAGAAAAGTACAAAGGTCAGTGTCTACAGAGCCACTGTATTGCCTACTCTTTTATCTGGGTCTGAATCATGGGTCATCTACCGTCATCACCTGCGACTCCTGGAACGCTTTCATCAGTGCTGCCTCCGTACAATTCTAAACATCCATTGGACTGACTATGTGTCTAATGTCACTGTCCTCGAACAGGCAGGGGTCACCAGCATCAATGCCATATTGCTGAAATTGCAGCTGCGCTGGGCAGGGCACGTCTCTGGAATGAAGGATCACCGCCTCCCCAAGATCGTGTTTTACGGTGAACTTGCCACCGGTAGCCACAAGAGAGGTGCCCCAAAGAAGAGATATAAGGACTCCCTGAAACAATACCTTAGCCTTGGCCATATTGACTACCATCAGTGGTCCACCTTGGCCTCCAATCGGGAGACTTGGAGGCACACCATACATAATGCTGCTGACTCCTTTGAGAGCTCACGAAGAACTAGTCTCGAGGAGAAAAGACAACGCAGGAAGAATCATGTCCCACCTGTTTCACCCAAGAAGACCTTCTGCTGTGCTTTTTGTAGCCGGAATTGCCTATCCCACATTGGCCTTCTTAGTCATCAGCACGCTTGTAGTAAGCGTGGGTAAAGCCCTTCCCAAATCTTCGTTCGCGAAGTCAAGCCATGATGATGATGATTAATAAAGTCACACAAACCAAGAGGGTATTAGAATTGCTTTATGGAGGATGTAAGCAAATATTTTGTATCTATTTCAAAGGTCAATAACAAAACATAGAAAAACAATAAAATGACAGCATGATCACACAGGCAGCAACACGGTGTGATCACTAGCAAAGTCTCTACTCTGTTCTCTTGGGATTTTTAATGTGATGCTGATGAAGAATTTGCACATTACTTTGATGTCTTCCCTGAAGGAAAGGGCTTTTATGAGCTCAAGCTGGTTTTATTTATAGCTGCAGAGTAAGGCCCTGATCCCAGCTATTCCACTAAGCATTATGAGTTTTGGGGTAGTTTCTCCACTTGCCAGCACTTGCCACCACATGGGACTTGGGCACTGGAGATTTGACTAGAAGCTCAAGAACAAACAATCCTCCAAGCAGACAAGTATCTAGGGAAAAAAAAAAAAACAACACAACAACCAAAACCAACTACATACACATGAAAGCAACACTCAAACCCAAATGCAGTTAAATTTGATCTGCTGAAGATTCAAGACAGGCTTGGAAGGCATACATCAGGACAGAACTAATATGTCATACCCAAGAGAGCAGAGAGATCTAAAACCTGATACACCTCTCCCCACATCGCTGTCAACAAGCCTGACCGAGACTTTCCCCTACATCCCCCAGCTGGCTCTTCATCCTGTCACCATACATTCCTGTCCATTTCAATATTAAACATGTCAAAACACACTTAAATCAAATGATCTTCTGCTTTAAAACACTCTCCCAAAAATCTGCTAGACATAAATCACCCTTCAGCTCTGGAAAGTCACTACACTTGAAAGGCAAGCAGAGTATCACTAGAAGGCGATTTATCATATTCCTCCCAACTTGAAAACTGGGGTCACTCCTTGCTTGTCCCTGTTGCTATTTTCCTGATACTAGTATAGGGTGGAAACTAATAGTAGATATTCCCTTAAAGAGGCAATTTAGTCTGCTACTGAAGTGGAAGTAAAAGAGCATTTGGATGTATTGCAAGCACTTTTGTGTAAGTTGAAGCAAACCAAATAAAACTTCTCCATTGTCAGTCTTTGACAGAGAATAAAATTACAAAGACAGCAGGGAGCACGCAGTAGAGATCAACATGCATGGGTCAACCCCTCAGAAATACTCAGAGTTTAAAACCTAACTGGCCTTTCTGCTGTCTGCAGAACATCATCTCTCTCAGACCAAGAATATGTTACAGGAGCTCTAGAAAAAAGACAAACTAAACTCTTTTTTCTTAGTGACCAACAGCTTCTGGCTCTTAAAGAATTATTTTACAAACCAGGGGAATCATGAAATAGGTAGAGCTCATCACCACTGCCTACTAAGAAGAATCTGTGAGCAGAGGGACCAGCAAAGGCAAGATTCTGGTCAAGTCCTGAAGTCCTAAACAAAACTCCCCTCTACCCCCTTTTCAAAAGGACAGAGATGGAGGAGGAAGGGGGAAATCACCAATGATAAAACATTCAAAAGTAAGAATTCTTTTAGATTTATGAAAGCTTGGAAGAACCAGGTGGACTGCTTTTGCACACAAATACTCAAGTAACTTCCTGACTGCCATTAACATAAATTCTAGCGAACACATTCAGACAGCCAGCTATACTTTCAAATGCACACCAATGCAAAGGAAAGATCTTGCAACATAAGCAATGAAGTCTGATATTCTGTCACTGCAGAAGTGCTTTCAAAGACGAGCCTTGGGGCTGAGCTTACATATACAAAGACCTCTGCTACGGTGTGCAAGACACCAAGATTTAAATACTGCTGTAATCTTTACCTCTCCCCAGGTCAACAGAGCTCAGAATACAATGCAGAGCAGTAACTCCTCTGAGGTTGTTAAGCAGCAGCAACAAAGAAATAAATCAGACATGTAAAGGACGTCTCATCCAGACCCTTCTGGCTGCAAAGACACAAATCTGAGTGTTGAATTACAGTATCACCTGAGCGGAACAAGCAAGCAAATCCATCGCACTCTACAAAAATTTCAGAAAGACCCATAGAAGAGGGAAGAAAGGCAACTACAGTGAAACTCTCTGAAGAAATGAAGTATTAACTTCCTGATTTATAATGTGAATCCCCTCTCTACTAAATCCCTGCTGCAGAAAAAAGCAGCTGTCTAAAAAGGTTGTAATGCACAGTAAAGTTCAAGAAAGGTTCTGTACAAACAGAAAGCAAGATGCTACATGGAACCAGGCAGTGAGTATTCTGCATTTGTCTTGGTTGTACACAGCAATGTGGACACTAGCGGAAGGACCAAAAAAAGGCAGGAAGAAGGAAAACAACAACAAAAAGCATGCGGTGGCACTTCTGCCTCCAAGAACTCCTCCTGCACACAACACCACTTTCACTCTGTTGCCACTAATTCACTCCATTATGGCTGTTTACGTCACTAGAAATTTTGACTATGCATTAGGTAAAAGGAAGAAAGAGCCGTATTTCTGTCAGTGACAAATCCCCTAATAACTAGCTTGTTATGGAGCACTTTTCAGAAGCAGACTGCAAAGCATTCTACACGGGTTATCAAATACCCTCAAACACCAAGAAGCAATTTGCTTGAGGCCACCCAAATAAGTGATTTAAAATATATTTCCTTGTTCCTTAGCTACTACCTCAAGTAGGGGTATAACAAGAGGTTTTTAAGTAAGACAAAAGACTGCAAGAGACAATATAGCCCTCTAGCCTTCCAAGCAGCCAAGTTACTAGTGCTCAATTCTAGGACCTAATAAGCAAAGATTGATTAGGAAATTAAGTTTCTGTACACCCTACTCCAAGTGCTGAAGATTTCAGTGAGCAAGGTCTGTGTTGATGAAAATTTGTAGTGTCTGATAAAACAAGTAATTATTTTCATTCAGTAACAGAGATGATACCAGCTTCAAAAAAATCCAACAGCAGTAAATGGCAAAGGTATCATAAGGGAAGAGGTTCTTCGAAGTCACACAGAATCACAGAATCCCAAATCCATTTACTTGTGGCTTTATTTAGAAGTTACTTTGAATTTTTCTTATTCAGTTGACAAATGGCTAGTGCAAAGTAATGACATGTGAAAAAAAAATAAAAAAAATCACCTTCTGAAAAGCAAAGTTAAAAATTACAAAAGTCTCGGTTTAAATCAGCACGTACATCAACAGTTTTACCTGTAACTAACTGCATAACCCAGAAGTTCTACCCTCACCAAGGTGCTGCCAAGCAAATAATGTAACTGTAATAAAGAGCAATAAAGTTGATGCTATGAATTAGAGTAGCTCAGACTTCTGTCTTTTGGGGAAAAAAAATTAATCTCATAGATGATCATTTATTTAGTGTTTGAAGTTGATTTTAACAAGGACTTTTTAGAAGACAAAGAGTGTTAAGGAAAGACTTCAAAACATAAAGGAATGTCACTCTTGGTTTTCTAACAAATACACCTACACAATCAGCTGTGTAGGTGGGTATCTTCTGGGGCAAGGAGAGCAGGGAAAGACAAGCCTATCCTGACAGACGAAGTATCTGGACATTAACCAATACAGGATGATTGCACAAAGATACACTAGCCAGGGAAAACAAAATCAAATCAAACCACAAGTTTCTGGTTTCCTGAAGAAAAAGAAACAGAAAGCACAAACCAAATAGCAGTCCAGCTTTCATTTCCTGCACACCAGGATATATTTTTTACATTTTGATAAGAACGCAACAAAAGGTGTAAGTAAGGCAGTTTCTGTTGATACAAACTACTGCAGAGCATAGAAGTAAGTATCACAGTACACCATGGCCCATGGCCAACTAAGTGTTTTATGGTTAAAAGGCCCACGTCTATGGACTGGAAGCTTTTCAGTGCTTCCAGTCACAGTGAAAAGCACTTCCCCTTCTCAGCGGAAGCACTGAAAAGAAGGGTAAATTAGTAAAGAGGAAGAACTTCCTATAGAAACTGAGACTACTAGTGTCAGTTCTATGGCAAGCAAGTAATGTTTCCCACAGGTTTTGCAGAAGCAGACATTCAAGCACAATATTAAATAGCAAAGCAGCCTAGGACACAGTATCATCAGCACAAAATGATGCAATTAATTAATGGCTCTGCAGTTGCACTCATTTGGCTTCTTAGATATCTAGTTTCTATTGAAACCAAGTACTCCAGCATCCAATTAATTGCAAATGTCAGTGCAATCAAACACACAGCTTCAACCAGAACACTGCGATACACAACTTCAGAGAAGCTAAAATAAGTCTGTAAAATTTGAGACATACCTAATAATCACTACGAGAAGCATGCAATATAAAACATTGCATATTCCTCTCAAAAAAAGGCTATCCAAGGAATTAGAAGCTGCATTACATTGTCAGCTACAATCTGTACTGAGAATAATAAATCAACCAATTAAATTCTCTGGTTTAATGCACTAGTTAAATACCAGTACAATAAATACAAAGTGACTGGCACTCAAGACACTAACAATCAGGTGAGAATAAGACATATTTATTTGTTAATAAACAACAAATTACAGTAGTCTAGTAAAAATTATAAATAGATTTTTTATTATTATTATTTCTTTTTGCTTGTGCATGCCTATAAAACACAGAGTGGTCAACTTTTAAAACAGCTACACTATGCTAAAGTACATGGATGTGTACATGTGATGTTCCTTCATCACATCCCAAATTCCCAGCAAGAAGCCCTATCAGAGGCTTGGATTCCTGTTGCTTGCTTCCCCTGCTCTGCCATCCTGACCACCCAGCTGCAGCAGAACCAAGTTCTTTCAACTAGCCCATGGACTTGAACTGATGCAGGGCGCATCCCTGCCTTAAATACAAATGGTAATGGAGTAATTAGCCTTGAGGGTGATGGTTGTGTTACAATGCTGGATTTACATTACTGTGACATTCTTCAACAGTGTATCAGCATTTCCAGAAATTCAGTCTGCTTCTTAGCATGCACAGGTAACTTAATTTTGGTAAGCTGGAAGCTCTGCAGCCTAAAATCATGGTTAAACTGAATTCCAGCACTTCCTTTGGTAGGTGATGTGGGAGGATGCAAAATCTGTTGCATCTGGTACTTGTGGTTCCACTTTAAACTCACCCCAGGCACCAAAAAGTTGGGCCTGAACTTTACCCTCTATCTTCAAAGGATATGCATTATTCTGTAAAAATGCACGTCCTGTCAGCACAAAAGCAATCTTGCACTATGCTGTTATCTTTCCTTCAATAACAGAATGAATTTCAGTAGTATTCTAGTGACTCAGCTGGTGTTTAACAAATTAAAAACCAGACCATCAAGGAAGCCACCAGCAGGATGTTTTAGTGGACAACAGAAGCCTGAGTAGTAGGTTGACCTGTATTCTGAAACAATTCCCTGCAGTACCTCAAGACCTTGTTTCTATCTGTCTTTATTGTGCTGTTTAGCAGCGCTCCATCTGGCTCCAAACAGGTTGGTAAGTCTAAAAGACACGGCACAGTTTAATGATGAGCTCAGGAGCCAGCAGCACAATAAGCAATGAGAGAATTAGTAACTGTTCTCAGCAGAACTACTTAGCCCTTGCAGATATTGAAGCCACTACACAACTTCCAGGAAAAGCCATCTGGGGCCAACCCAAGCATTTCCACCCAGCACTTCACTACACAGTGACACTTCTTAACAACCCAAGTGTAATATCCAAGCTGGCTGCATGCAGCATCCTGTTCACAGATTTTATTTCCCATTCCTATAGTTTTGGAATAAGTGTCTACAGATGTGCAATCTAATTCCCAGATGACTCATCTTCATGCAATGAGACATAAATGTTTTCTTCTAGGGCTTGGGAAGCTGCTGAGAAACACCAGCACAACCACTTGCAAGATTTGGTAGGATTAAATACAACATTTTCTTTTGCTGAATATTGTTAAGCTAGATCAGTCATCTTCAACCAGACCAATTCCCCAGCCCAATTTATGTTGCGTTTGCTACTGAGCTACCATAACACCTGACTGAGAAGGCAGAGAGCAGTGTAAAGATGAGCCCAAGGAACTGTTCATATTAATGCCAGCCCTTGACTGGTAACCACTTAGCAGTGATAAGCTACCTACAGTATGTAATTCTGCCCTCAATTACAACCACATAATGCCACTGAGGAGGCTCATGTCACAGCAGTATGAACGGCATGTAATCAGTGTTACAAAAAAAAATATATAAAAAATAAATCATAGCAATCAATCTCTCCACATCTTTGTTTCAATATACATTGGTTACAAATGCTAGCAGTTGGTTTCTGCTTATGTCTGCTTTACAAAAGACTTCAGCGTTCACCACTGTTCAGGATCTGCTTTCAGCAGACATCTGAAGATTTTTACCCCATTAACTCACTCAGTATATAAAACTACTAATAGGAGATACACTCCTGCATTACCAACTCTTCCTAAAGCATTAGGAACTTTATCTTCTATAAACAGGTCTTCAAAATTATAATTAAAAAAATAAGCAAACAAAAAGACGACACACAACCATTTACTGGTAACTTGAGGATTCCTCTTCACAGAATTACTCTTTTGGTAAGGCATTTAAATGCCTAACTGCAACTCCTAACATGGCTTTCACAATGTTGCTAGCAAATTGCAAGAAAAAGACTTACTTTTGGCACATCAACTGCCACCTCCCTCATGGCGCTGGGCCTGACATCATTCATCCCCTGTAGGAAGTCACTGAAAGCAATCATCACTGACCCAGCCACCTCGTTGTCTAATACATTAGGTCTTTTCCCCAGTGCTCTCCGCAATGCGTACAAACCTATTAAAACCAGAAAAAAACGGAAATATGTAGACTTCCTCTTGGTTCTCAAAAACAGAGTGTACAACATACAAACACAACAGCACTGGAAAGGAAATTCTGTTCAAAAGAATGTATCGGTACTGGACCTTAAGGTCAAAGAACAGGTGAGACACTTCTGATGAGAGCACAAGAAAAGGGGTATTTAATGACCACAGACAGAATATAAACTACATGCTTCAAAAGACAGAATTGAACAGCCATGCCCCTGTGTTCCCAGAGATGAAGCTAACAGGACAAAACCTCCAAAGGTCCACACATTGACCCAAACACATTTCTAAAGCACAGAGGAAGAAGGATAATGAATATTCAAGGCAAACATTAAATCAGCTCACATAAGACATGTGCAACCTTGTCCATTCCTCTACTAGTAGGACTGTATTTTCCTAGCTGCTCTTAAAAACAAACTGACGAGATTTCTTTTACTTTCATTGGAACCCTATTTTGCTATTCAGTAAGATGCCAGACACCCATATTTTTCTTGATATGCAAGAAACATTCCCTGCACCACTCGACAGCTCTTCATTCCTTTCAGCAATCATACAATTCAAACACAAGCAGAGCTTCTACATTCTCCTTTGTTTGGCTCAATCCCTTGCATACAATACCTATAAAGCTTGATACTCATTCCTATTTTCCCCCTTTAATTCTATCCTCCAAAACCTGCGCAAGTCCCACCCATCAATGTACCAATACGCCTCAGGAAGGACCAAGCAGTACTATCTGCAGTACCCAAGCATTCCTCAGAGAGACCAGCTACTGCCCCTTTTGTGTAAGATGCCCAGAAGCATCATGGTGTTCCTGCTATATAATTATGCCTTTTAAGGTCTAATATAATTTGGAGTTCTATTGCTTCTATTCCCAGCCCTGTTCTGTGAACTGAAACTGTCAAATATGTCACTTAGTATACTATTGCATTAATGAGTATAATCTTATATACACGTAAACACACCTGTAATATCTGTTGTCATGTGTTACAAAAAAAAAGAAAAAAAAAAGTCAGTATTAAACCAATGCACCTTGCATGATCACACAAAGATAAACCTTTGCTATATTTAACTAATCAAAACATCAATTAGTGCTACATGAAAGGACAATAACACGGATAAGCTATTTCTGAAAACAGAACTGGTTATAACTTCCAGCAGATTTTTTTTCTACAGAGGCCCCGGTAGATGCAAACATGCAAAGTTTCTGACAGTGACAGGAATTCTGAGTTTCCTACAATATATACAATGTGTGAAGAGATACAATATCTCCCCTGCGAAGCAGTACAGCTGGTGTTTCTCCAGAAACTGCCAATTATGGCAGAGTCCGAGCACCTGCATTCAATACCCAGGCTCTTAATACAATAATGGAGAGGGGAAGGGGGAAGTTCGTAATTCAGGTTTCCCCTTGCACAGAATATCCAGAACTAATAAGATATATAAATAAAAGCATTTCAAGAGGCCAAGGAATGAAATGAAAATCTGGTCACCAAAGGACAAGTATAAACCATAACTGACTCATTTTAACCATGACAATTCTCATGTTATTCCACCCCCTACCCTTCCTTTCTTAGAAAGTGTTCCTTTTAGGCAAACAAAAACTTACACAAGACAACACAGATTTATCCCCACCCACATTTAAAATTTGCGTCCAAGCAAATAACAAACTGGGTATCTTATTCTAGTGCCACTACAGTTAATACTTTGGGGCTGGCAGCAGGTATTGGGGTTGACTCCTACAGGTCCTTTTTTGATGAAGTCAATTTACTCCACTTAAAAAAAAAAAAACAAACAAAAAAAACAACAATAAATAGCATATTATGAAATTAAGTCATAGAGAAAGAAAGCAACTGGTAAAGAACTCTGCTCATTTCTATACATATCTGCTCCATTGCTCCATCATGCACCAGTCCCTTTTGATTCCTTTTAATAGTGTCATGGTTATCCTTTTTTTTTTTCATGACATGAGAAGTTCTTAAAAACAAGCAAGTTTATTTTAAAAACTGAGAGACAACAGGACATAAAAATGCCTAAGGAGAATTCCGCTTTCAAGGACCATTACTGCCAGGGCTACCAGGTGTACAAGTGAAATTTCAGTCCTCAGCAGTGGGTTTAAGGTGCAACCGCCTTGATCCAGAACAGGAATAAAGAGGTCACAGCTTTCCAAACAAAGCCTGAATTGATTTTAGCATGTGCACGCACATGCCACTGCACAGGTCAGCGTTTAATTGAAACAATGTTTTACATTAAAACAGTAATAAAAAACAGATTGAAAAAGAAAGCATGATTCCTCCTGTTTCCTCCTGTTACCATAATCATTCTTTCCTGCATTTCAGATTGACCTCTAACCCGGGGGCGGGGAGAAGGAGGGGGGAGGGAAGAGGGAGGTGGGAAGTCTCAGTAATAGGATACAGGCAGCAGCTTGCCAGAGACAGAAAAACACATCCTTCTCCCAAGATGCTGAAAGATCCTTATTTAATGTAAGAAAAAGCAGGTCAGGCTGAAAAACATGGTGCTAGAAGCAACACAGAGGCAAAGGAGGTGAAACACTATAGCAAAGCCAGGTTTATCAGTACTGGAGTTATAATGTGGATAAACTGAAGATTCAGACACAGCACCTCAAAAAACACTGAGCATCTCAGCTTAGCTGTCGGGTACTCTTCATGAGCATGTTCTGGTTTGAGTGTATATCAGTGCTATGAACTGTCTCTGAGCACAGAATTTGTTACAGCATTTCTTGCTCATTTTCCAATGCTACTTCATTCTTAAGCATTCATGAATATCAATAGCCTTTTGGCAGTGACTGATCAGGCCCAGAAACAGGCGGCTAGTTTTTCACTGTTTTATTCCAGCACAAGTCCTGTGTGAAGGGAGGAAGGATGCAAATGTAGTTAGCCTGCTGTATGGTCAGCAGGATAGTTCACACAGGCATGGTGTACCTATTTCTAGTAAAGAGATACAAGACTGGTCCCTAGGACTAGAGCCTTGGTCAACATGGTCTAGTGTGAGGCATTCCTGCTTGGCAGTGGGGCTGGAATGATCTTAAGGTCCTTTCCAACCCAAACCATCCTATGATTCTATGACTACCCTGTGCAGAGCAGAAACCTAACTCGTAAGGCGGCGCTTGCAATAGTGAACAGCACTGATTCTCAGTAGGTCACAGATGGAAAATCCCAGTTTAAAAAAAAAATGGAAAAAAGAAAAAAAGAAAAGAAACAAACATAATAAATCATGCATGATTACAAACAATGGAAAATAAACAATTTGTTCCAGTTGGGCAACTGTATGTTCTACCTCACTAATTCATCCTGTCTGTCTAGAACAGAGGAAACAAAGTGAATAGAGGGGAAAAAGCCAGCAGAACACCCTGTCCTGGTACAGATGATCCTTCTTTGGTATCAGGCTATGGTACCAGATCAGTAGCATTGCTTCCCTGAAAGATTTTATTGCTTATAGTTTAGCTAAGTGTGGCACATTAGATCGTAATCACAATGTCCCCTAAAAAGACTCTACAACACTGTTAGACTTGCCAATCTGTGTATAATTGTAAGCTACTGTAAATAATAGAAAGCATCCACTCAAAACAATGAACATATACACTTTAGGTTTCTGAAACAATATACACAACACTTGAGGAAATGAACTGAACAAGACTGCTAGTCATGCACCTTTTACTGCCCATCAGCTATTTCTTCTGCAAATCCATCTTGTCTGGATTTACCCTACCAGAATTCTAATAGCAGAATCTGTAAGTAGCTTCAAAGAAATTGTAATTTTCTTGTAAGACTATTTACAAGGGGAAATGTTTTTTCTTTCCCTGCTAATCTGGCATTTCCCTCCCAAATTGTTACAGCCATACCAAGAAGGCGCATACCATTTCTACCTGTGCCAGCTGTAAGAAACAACATGATTCTCCCTTGCATGGCTGCAAGTGGAATGCTCAACAGCATATGGAAAGATTTCAGCTTCCTAATGGCACCAGATAGGGCATCTTCCTCTATTTCCAGGTCTTTACATTCTGTACTTCAATATTTAAGTTTTATGCGTAGGAAAAGCATTTTGTATATCTTAAAATCAATTTTGAACATTATAAACCATAAGAACAGTGTACTTCAGAGGCAATGACCACAAAAGTTGTTCCACTGTTTGGCTTGGGGTTTTTGTTTAGTTTGGTTGATTTTGTTTTGTGGTGGGTTTTGGTTTGGTTTTTTTTTTTTTCCCACTGTACATATATGGGAAAATCCCTGAAGAACTTTCATTTCCTGTTTGCACAGAAAAGATAATGCCCTTAAATCCCTTGTAACTATAACACTGCAAATTCACTCAGCCAACCTGAGCACTAATTTACTGTAGGGAGTATGTTCGCAATTTACAGTCCATCATGAAGAGCTCTGGCATTTGCTGGAACCCGTCTATGGAGCAGACCAAAAGTTGTTGAGAGGTGCGACAGCAGAGGGAAAAGAAGGAAGGAAGGAGGAACTGTATTTTCAAAACTTATTTCATACAGGAAACAGCTTATTCACAGATCAGTTACACACACATCGCCTTCCAGTATCTGAAGGGGGCCTATAGGGATGCTGGGGATGGAGTCTTCATTAGGGACTGTAGTGACAGGACAAGGGGTAATGGGTTAAAATTTAAACAGGGGAAGTTTAGATTGGATATAAGGAGGAAATTCTTTCCTGTTAGGGTGGTGAGGCACTGGAATAGGTTGCCCAAGGAGGTTGTGAATGTTCCATCCCTGGCAGTGTTCAAGTCCAGGTTGGAAGAGGCCTTGGGTAATATGGTTTAGAGCAAGGTGTCCCTGCTCATGGCAGGGGGTTGGAACTTGATGATCTTAAGGTCCTTTCCAGCCCTTGAAATAAGGAATACCAGACTGCCTGTTTGTAGCCTGCTCTCATACATAAATGCAGCTAAGCTAAGTTTTGTCATATGTATGTTAGAAGAAAAATAAGGACTGCCCGGCTACCAGAA